TCGTAAAAAGGGATATTTGGTTGTCATTGAAATAATGCAATTATTTACTTAAGGTTGGAAAACTCCAAAGAGTAAGGAAACATGGGTGGGGGAGAAGCTCATCGCAGAGGAACTGGGAATCTTCACTGGCCGTAACGGAAGGGTCAACATTCAGCATCTCCAGTTTAGGAATATCTTGAGGGCAACCCTCCGTCTGGGAGATAAAGGGTAAAATCTCTGCTGAGAACCAGGCCTCAGAAACTTAAGGAATTCCAAGCAGGAGACAGAGAAAAGAATAGTCACTGCAGTATGAGTGACATCACAGGGCTTCAAAAGAAAAAAGGCTACAGGATCCTGCTGGGAATGTAAAATTACAGTGAGAAGTGCAAGCAGCAGAATGTCTGTCAGAATGTAAGGCATGAGGCCCACAGTACAGAGTCCATATTCAATCCACCATCAGGTGCCAGGAACCCAAAGATCAACGGGCAAAGGGGATTTAGGGCAACTTAAATGCATACGATTAAATTAACCTCTTCACTGAAGATTTCAGCCAGGTGAATTTTAGTTCAGTGACTGTGGACCCAAACAATAAGCATTTATGGAAAGCCGCAGCCAAAATACCTGAGATCACCTGTGACTTGGGGCTGACAATGGAATGCTGTGATACATATTTTCAGGAGCGTGATTTTACTAAAAGGTAGTCTAGAAGGTGCTGTGATATTCTGTCCTGATAACCCTTTAAAACTCTGAGCAGGAGACACGAGAGTCAGGATAACAGCACTCAATTTTGAGAAGGCTGATTAAGATATACCAGAGACGAAGGGCAAATTGCATCTGGGACAGGAGCTTAAAGCTTTGAGAAGGTCTAGCTCCACTCTGGTGGGATAAGCACACTACAGCCTGTCTCCCACACTGATCACAAATAAAACCTCTGGCCAGCACACAAAAAGCAACACAAAAATGTGCAGACTCTGAAAAAGCAAATGAAAGCAGGCAGAGTATAAAAGGATGTCAGATGTGGAGAAATGACCCCCAAAGTGATGAAGTTTCCCTGTTTCTCTTTCTTTGTTCTTAGGCTTTGCCGGAGGAGGACTGTCCATTCAGAGATGGCAGTGGACTGTGCTAAGACCCCACAAAAGTGGTGGGCTCACTCCTAAGATGTTCATACGTGAGACGAACCCAAAACAGCATAACTAAGATTAAAACCACTGTGTAAGTGTCTGACTGACACAAATGCCACATGCAAGAAATACACTCAAAGCAGCACAGCAAAGACTTGAAAACTGAACTAAGGCAAACAGAATAAGCCTAATCAGGCTGACAGTCTGCTAAAAAATGGAACATTTTTCCAGAATAATATAGGAAGATCCAAAGTCTATACAAAGTAATGTTCAAAATGTCTCGGATACAGAACAAAGTTATTCAACATACACAGATGATGGATTCTAAAAAAAATAAAAATAAAATAAATCGACAGATGCCAACCACAAGATAAGCCTAACACTGGAATTACATTGGATAAACAAGTGTAAGGGCCCATTTAGCCACAGCGGCTCCACCCTGACCCTGCCCCGCCCCCCGCCTCTGGGAACTGACTTAAAAACAAGTCCCAGAAACCAGTCCCAGGGAACAAAGCCCAAATAAAAGGGTGGGTCAGGCCAGGTGGAGGTAGCCAATCAGTGGGGGTGCATACTGTCTCCCTAGCTACCAAGGAGTATGGGCCCCGCCCTTTGGGCGCCAATTCTGACCAAGGTGATAGGCTGGTTCAAATATCTACTATAGGGTAAACTGTAATTTAATTGGTCACTTATGTGTGACCTAGCAGGACTGTGCAGCTTTCTCTGTGTTACAATCTCATTGGCCACCTGTGCGTGGCCAGGCCCAACCACATGGCCTTTGCCCTTAAAAGCTAGTCCGTAATGCAGAGAGTCGTCACCTCTTTGCAAGAGACAGCCCTGGCCGGTCAGTTTGATTCTCGATGCTTGGTGTGAAATAAAGCTCTGCTTGACCTTCACTTTGTGTCAGTCTCGCTCCTTTGATCGTGGACCCATTACTGGGGGACCCAACACAATAGTTGTCTTAACTAAGCTTCATGAGGCAAAACTAAACACACTTGAAATGAATGTAAAAATCAAGCTCTTACTTGAACTTGATAAACAAAAACAATGAAAAAAGTTGGCAATTTCACAATAGAAAAAATATATAATATCTGAAAGATAATTATTTGGCTAGCAGGAAAGAGAGCAACACAGTGATGATGAAGGTAAGAGTCAGAGATCTTGAAGACAGACCAAAAGAAATTGTCAAATTTGAAAAACAAAACCACTAAAAAAACAAAAATCAGAGCCTTAGGATCCTGTGAGACAATACTAAAGGGTCTAACACATGTGCTACCAGAGTCCCAGAAGTGGAGGGGAAAGAGATTAGGGCAAAAAAAAATCTTTGAAAAAATTATGGCCAAAAGTTTCCAAAATTTGGTGAGTCATAAATGTTTAGATTTGAGATGTTCAGTAAACCCAGGCACATTAAACTCAAAGCACAAATAGATACATCATAATCCAACTTCTGAAAATCAAAGATTAAAAAAACCCTCAAAATCAATTAGAGAGTAATTACATTCAGAGGTAAAGCAAAAAAGTCATCAGATATATCAAAAATCAAATAAAAAAACAGATACCAAAAGAAGGCAGGAAAGAACAGAGAAACAAAGTACAAAGGGACAAACACAAAACAAATAGTAGGCCTAAAATAAAAATAATGGACCTAAATTCAACCATATCAATAGTTTATATTAAATGGTCCAAACATACCAATTAAAGATGTAGATTATTAAACTGGATAACTACAACAAGACCCAAGACTATGCTATCTGTAAAAAACAAACAACCCCACTTTAATAATAAACATATATGGGTTAAAGTGAAAGGACAGGAAAAGATGTATCATGCAAACAATAAGCAAAGGAAAACTTAGTGGCTATGTTATATACCACACAAAGCAGACTTCAGAACAATGAATATTACCAGGGATAAAAGAGGACATCACATAATAAGGTCAACTCATTAAGAAAACATAATACTCCCAAATGTACATATACTCAACAACAGAGTTTCTAAATGTCTTAAAAGCTAACTGATGTGAAAAGAGAAACAGACAAATCTACAATGACAGAGAATTTAACACTCCTCTCCCAACAATTAACAGAATAAGTGGACAAAAAATTAGTAAGAATATGGAAGACTAAACAGCATCATCAACCAACTTGACTTAAATAACACACCAAACACTCCATTCAATAACAGCACACTACACATTCTTTTTAAGTGCACACAGAACACCCAATGACATGGACCATGTCCTGGTCAAAAAACAAAGTAACAAACAACAATCTGATAAATTTAAAAGAATTGAAATCATACAAAGCATATTGTCTGATCATAATGAAATTAAGCAAGAAATCAATAACAGAAAGATATCTGGATAATCCTCAAGTATTTGGAAATTAAATAACATACTCTAAACAACTTGAGGATCAAAGAAATCACAAAGGGAATTAGAAAGTATTCTGATTTGAGTGAAATGGTATAAAGATACAAATTTTGTAGACTGCAATGCTTAGAGGGAAACTTAAATTTATGCCTAATAACACTTAGATTTTTTTTAAAAGTGTTTCTAGTCAATAGTCTAAGATTTAACTTTATAAAACTAGAAAAAAAATAAAAATAAGTCCAAAGTAAGCAGAAGGAGGAAATAATAAAGAACACAAATCAGCAAAATTGAGAAAAGAAAAAAACAATTTCAATATACAAGTGGTCTTATAAAAGATCAATAAATTTAGAAAAAGGCAGGTAGATTCTACGAAGTCCAGCAGTGATCCCCACCCTCCTGCTTTTTACACCTTTGTGCAATTCACTCTCCTTGATTGTGAGTAAAATCTATGATTTGCTTCTAACCAACAGAATATTGGATGTTCTGTTCTTTTGCCTTCTCAGTTTATACACTCTGATGAAGCAAGCTACCACACTGCAGAGGCCCACATCACAAGGAACTGAGGGTGGATTACTTGAAGTAGATCCTTTATCAGTCTAACATTCAAACTGAGACACCTACTTGTGGTCAAAACTTGAGAAGCCTTATAAGAGATCCTAAAGCAGAGGACCCAGCCAAATCAAGCCAGAATGCTCTAAATTCTGACCTGCAGAAACTTTCAAATAATAAGTATGTGCTATTTTAAAGTCACTACGTTTGTAGTAAACTGAAGCTATGAATATGCAGATTATGAAGACTTAAACTTTGAATCCTACATAATTCCACACAAGAACTCTAAGAACTTATTATGGAGCAATACACACCTGATATAAGAGTGAAGACACAAATTACCAATAACAAGAAGGAAAGTGGAGACATTACTACAGACCTTACATACAGTTAAAGGATAATAAGAGAATATTGTGAACAACTTTTTGCTTATACAATTGGCAACTTAGATGAAATGGACAAATTCTTTCAAAGACACAAACTGCCAAAGCTTATTCAAGAAGACAGGCTAACGACATGGATCAAACTAGAAGGTATTATGCTGAGTAAAATAAGTCAATCAGAGAAAGACAAGTATCATATGATCTCCCTGATATGAGGAAGTTGAGAGGCAAAGTGGGGAGCTTGGGGGGTAGGGAAGGAAAAAATGAAACAAGATGGGATTGGGAGGGGACAAACCATAAGAGACTCTTAATCTCACCAAACAAACTGAGGGTTGCCAGTGGGAGGGGGGTAGGGACAGCGTGGTTGGGTGATGGACATTGGGGAGCATATGTGCTATGGTGAGTGCTGTGAAGTGTGTAAACCTGGCGATTCACAGACCTGTACCCCTGGGGCTAATAACACGTAATATGTTAATTAAAAAATTTTAAAATTTAAAAAAGATTTTCTTTGGCTTGAAATCTTCAAGAACCGTGCTCTTTGAAGTTAAATTCTTCCTATCTCACTTGTTTCATCAGAATTAACCCAAAAGGCACACTTACCAACCAGGACTACAAGCCGGTATTTTTCATTCATTTGCCGCCGATACGGCGTCACTTCCTCATATGTGGGCACATCAGCGGTGTCATACTGGTCGCTCTTCTTGCATTCATACATGGACTTATTTGTTTTCTTATCTTTCCTACTAAGACGAAAACTTCTCCTAAAACCAGCTGCAAAAAAACATATATATATATATATATATGTATTTTTAGTAATAAGAATTAAAGAAAGAAACCTCCCAAAACACAGAAATGAAAAAACCCTCAAAAGTTGGATTGGATTTTTTGAACCAGAATATTGTCACAAGTACATTTAGTATGAAAAAACACACAGATACAACACAATTTCACTAAAGCAACCATTTATAAGAGAATCCTTGAACATTTATTTTTATAGTTGTAATAATATTGTATTTGGTTCCAAACCATAAAGAGTTCTCAGAAATCAATGAGTAAAATAATTGTGTAATAAAGCCAAATAAGTTGGAAATAGTTTATCATGGACTGACTGAACACAGTTGATAAGAGAAAGTTAAAAGTACTGTAGAAACATTTCAAATATAAATGCTGAATTCCCTCATTCAAAAATACTGGAATATATTGGATTGTAAGCACAAACTAACAACATACCTGTGGCACAGACAACCATCTATTATTAAATAAAAAGGAAACTAATTTAGGGAGAGCTCAGTGTCACACACACCAAACAGGGATCGGGCCAACAGAAGAGCAAGTTCTTTGACTTTTACGAGATTCCAGCATTGGGGGGCGGGGGCAGTAAATGACCACATCCGGGTTCTTCTTCTCCTATGGAAAAGTCCATGGTTTTATAATTCGAAGCCTACTGAATTTTGGGAATAAGACTCATAGTCTCAAGTGTGTACTCTTATCAACAGATCATATCTTTTCCTAAAATAATTGTACAAGTACTTCAATAAATTTAAGTGCTTAAAGCTCAAGGCTGTCATTAAACACATGGGCGTAAAAAGCTAAGGCAAATGTTCTTGTTCCCAGTCAACCCCCATTTCATTGTGCTTGCTCATCGTGTTGTTGCATTGTTTGGGACTTATTTCCCTTCTAGAACAGTGATGTTCATCACACACAGCATGATTTCATCCATACAACACAGTATAAATTCGGTAAGATGAGAGTCAGTTCTTGACCTAACCCTCAAAATCCAGACTTTAAGGAAAGCTGTTCTGCTTATTGAAATATTATATATATTCATATCAGCTCCATGGTACAAAGCAAAAGGCAAGTACATTTTTAAGTATATAAAAACATATTCCCTTGGAAAAGAGAATATATTTGTTTGGGTATTGATATCATCAATAAGAGATTTCTCTAAACTCAGACCAAGAATCACCTCTTTGGGTCCCTTTCTTCCTTCCTTCCTTCCTTCCTTTCTTTCTTTCTGACTTTCTTTCTAAAAAGAAATGTAAGTATGTATTTAAGAAATTAAGCATTTAAGAAACTACCAGGATTCAAAATAAAGGCCAATATGAAAAGCAATGATCAGTAACCCTGGAGTTATAGCATTCAATTTATGGATTCACAGTTTAATAAAAATCAGCCAAGATATTAAGAAGGGGGTGATAAAATGTTCACCTGATAATAGAGCTCTACGGCCCACCACGAGTCATTCTGACTTTGAGCAGGTACTCAGATTATTTGAAGGAAAAGATTTACAAAGGATTTGAGACAAGAGTCCATCACTCTAAAGCTTTCATATCAAAGGCAGAAAGCAAAGAGGAAAAGGCAAACAGGACAAGGAATAAAACACTGGTATCTATCCAAGGACGAGATTCAGAGAAAGCAAATGGGGAATATGCCGACCTGGCCCTAGGATGAAGAAGTGTCAATTCCAAAACCACTCATGCAGGCCGAGTTCAAACTTCTCTATAAAAGGTCAAAGGGTAGCTGATTATTATTAATCTCTTGTATTTTTTTGAGGATATCGGGAAATTATTATTAATCTCTTGTATTTTTTCAGATATTGGGAAAGACTCATGAGAACGTAGGAAAAGTGTTCCTTTACATGGGAGTCCTCGCAATGCCACGCCAGAAGTGGGGGGATCCCTACAACTGCTCCCAGTGCTTGAGCGACATGCTTCTCAGACAACTCTCTCACCAATTTGCAGAGATTAGTGATGCCATCCTGACCCCGCCCCAGCTCTGTCACCTGTGACGGCTGGCCCACCCAGGAATCCAGCAGTAGATGGCATCCGGTTTAGCACACAGACTACACAGCAGCTCTCCTAACTCTTTGATGCTGCTATTTCAGCGTTTCTCATTTCAGGTTCCCACAGCTCTTGTCTCATGGAAGGCAGTTATAGGATAAGTGGGTGGAACTGGAAATTTCTTCATGATTATTCTTTGCACGGAGGGAGGGTTTCCCTCAAGTCCCTACAAACTTACAGCCCAGTAATGAATCTAACCAGGACAGAAATGTTTCATCCACAGCAAATGAAGTCCAGAAGGAAAAACCTGAAAATTTCTGAGCCACGAATCCCAGCTAAGTCCTGAATCTCAGTGAAAGTGTTTACCTGATTGCGTTTTTACAATTAACGGACGTTTTTGCTTTCATTATAAACAATAAAGAGATAGTAGGAGAAAGTGCAGGTAATCGGATTTCTGATGTGAGATTCTCTGGACATCAAAGACGGGGACTATGGTCTCACAGGATGGTTTGGTGATACTTGCTGTCCAGGGCTTGGTACAGAACAGGTGATTGATAAAAGTCTTATAAATTCAAGTAATATAAAAAAGCAATTAACAAAACCCCACTTCACCCCGTCACATCCTCTTACTGTAAATTTCAACAAAGAAAGCAGGGCACATTTGCTATTTTCACAAGAGAAAATTCTAAGAGGCAGGCCTAATGACAAAACACGGCATATGCAAAGGCAGAGAGCTGGAGGGAGCTCTGGAGACCATCCTGGCCCGCAGCATCCTTGCTCCCTGGCCACACAGATAGTACAGATGCCACCTGCCCATGCACAGTGACACGGTCCTTATCTCATTCCCGCCAGTTTTCTAAGTGACGATGACTGAGCAACTGGAATTCCCACAGGTTGTGAAGGTTCAGCGTCCTGACCCAAAATCCTCACTCACAAAAATAAGGAGAAACGGCAGGTCACCACACCACGCCTATTAGAGCAGCAGTACCGAGTATTAAAAATCGAAGGCCAGGGGCACCTGGGTGGCTCAGTGGGTTAAGCCTCTGCCTTTGGCTCAGGTCATGATCTCAGGGTCCTGGGATCGAGGCCTGCATCGGGCTCTCTGCTCAGCAGGGAGCCTGCTTCCTCCTCTCTCTCTGCCTGCCTCTCTACCTACTTGTGATCTCTATCTGTCAAATAAATAAATAAAAATCTTAAAAAAAAAAAATCGAAGGCCAGGCGCATCTGCGTGGCTCAGTCGGCTAAGCAACCGACTCTGGGTTTTGGCTCAGGTCTGATCAGAGAGTCACGTGATCCAGCCCCGCATCCAGCTCTACACTCAGCACGGAATCTGCTTGAGATTCTCTCCCCCTTCCTCTGCTCCTGCTCACTCTCTAAAAGAAATAAATAAAGTCTTAAAAAAAAGAAACAAAAAAAACCCCCAACTTTGTTTTTGAGGACCAGAGGTGGCAAAGTCTGGGTCAGCGTCTAGATTCTGACACCTACTAGCTGTATGAGATTTGCCAACATTTTAAAAACTCCTCTAAGGCTCACTTCTCAACTTTAAAATGAAGATAAGAGTATCAACCTTAGGAGGTTGTTAAAGATTAAACAAAGAATTCACATAAAGCATTTGGCCCAGTACCCGGCAGGTGGTAAATACCTACATATATTAGCTGTAGATTAGTACTTGATTATGTCTCCAACTAACTGAAAGCACCTGGAAGGCAGGAACTTATACCTCCCTGTACTCCCACTGCACACAGTCTAGCAAGAAAGCGAAAAACAAGGGGCTTGTTAATAAGGGTTTAAATGGCTGTTATAGAAGAATATTTAAATATAAAGACTAGTATTAAAATTACAGCCAGATTTAAATGTTAAATATTAAAAGTACCTATTAAAGTAGTAAAGCATTTTAACGAAACACGACAGAAAAATTTAGTATGCACTATCCTTTCACTATCCCCCCTACAAGATACTCTAAGGTTATGTGTTATTTCTTGTACAATATTTACATGTAAATAACCTCCTTCCCTCTTATCTTCTTACTTATCATGACCATGTACTCTCCTGATTCACAGACACCTGTCTACTTTCCATATTTATAGCGCTCCATACACATAAATATACAGGATAAAACAAATTTTCCAACCCAGAGGAACCAATAAAACAGCCAGAACAGAGGATACAACAAAAGGCACAAAATTCAGAGTACTTGCTTGTGACGGTTTCTCAAACCAAAACAGGCCGTTTTCCTAGAATCTATCCTCCCCAGGAAGTCAGGGGTGATGGCTCATTTGGCACGCTGTTCAAGGCTCTGATTTTCATACGTGGGTCCCATAATGAGCTATGTGCCAGCACACACCTTAGTAAGTAAGGTTAAAGGAAACTTAATTCTGTGTCTGGAAGAGGTAATTTCTTCCCTTCAGCTTTTATGTGGTTCTCTTATTAAAAGGAAGGTTTAAAAATATATACTTACGGGGCACCTGGGTGGCTCAGTGGGTTAAAGCCTCTGCCTTCAGCTCAGGTCATGATCCCGGAGTCCTGGGATCAAGCCCCATGTCGGACTCTCTGCTCTGTGGGGAGCCTGCTTCCTTCTCTCTCTCTGCCTGCCTCTCTGCCTACTTGAGATCTCTGTCTGTCCAATAAATAAAGTCTTTATATATATATATATATATATATATACACACACATATATATATATATATATATATATACATACTTACAAGGAGAGTATGTATGCAAAGGGCTCGTTCAGGTACCTGTGAATAAACAACCTAGGACCTACTGAACCTGCGTTCATTTTTAACACGCAAGTCTTAGCAAGAGCTGGCTCTAAAAAAGGAAGGGAAAAGGAATGGTAACGAGGAATCTGGAATAAGGGAACGGTTTTACACAAAATATATTTTTCCTTATATTTCACATTTTTGTAATTTATAATTGGCTCAACATTTTTATGGACAGGCTTTTTCCAGCGAGCTTACCCACAGCTGTTAGAGATTTGCGTGTTTT